CTACAAATCTCTTCAACCTTCAAATTCAAATTGCCGGTGACTCACATGGACCCACCGTAATCCGAAGACATGCCCGGACTCGTCTCGCCGGACCGCACATTTTTCCGGCCATCGTCGCCAGATCCGGCGAACTTTTCCAGCGACCATTTTTTTTTCCAGCGACCGAGCACCCACCGAGTTCCGGTAAGTATTTTTTTGAGCTTTTCTTGTTATATGCCATCGATTCCTTTCGTTTGGTACCTTTTTCCGGCGACCGGATCTCCTATTTTTCTATACTTCTCTATTTTTGAACTCCGGCGACCGTTTTCCTCGAAAATTTTCCAAAGTTCAACGTCTCGATTTTGGTTTGTATTTCCGTACTTTCATGATATGCGTTATGCGTGGATCACTACTCTTGCCGGAGTAGTCGTATTGAGATGATTGGGTTAGACTTGTGTGTTTAGGCACGTCTTGCCGGGCGTGCCACATATACGTGTGTTTTTGCCGGTAGTTTGAGTTGTAGGTACCTACTTACGGCAAGCGCCGGCAATCGCTTATGCGTTGCATACATACGGAGTTCGTTGTGTTGGATCATGGTGGGAATTGACAAGGACTTCAAGGCCCGAATTTCGCGCTCTCACGTGAACGTGTGTCTACGTCGAGTTTATGCATTCATGGTTACTATCTCTCCGAGACACACACTTGGCCTCTCTCGATTCATGTGCTCAATGTTACACCGTTCGGATGGCTCTATCTCACGCTCGATGGTTTTCGATTGACCCCTCTATTCCCTACGGACGACCATTATTGGACACACGGTGGTGACGACCACCGTGTCGAGTACGCAGTTTCTTTTCCTATTTTCTCTTTCTTTCTTTGTTTTTTGTGTGTCTTTGTGTTATCTTATCTTGTTTCTTTGATTTTTGTCTCTCGTTTTTATTTTTATCGCATGAACGTACGTGATTATGTGCTTTCGCCTATACTTTTTGGTCAAGCAATGAGGACATTGCTTTGTTTTAAGTGTGGGGGAGGGATTTCGTGATTATGCATGTTTAGGAGATATTCTGTTCATTTTTGTGCTTTATTTTTCGTATTTGTTTTGTCGTGGACCGGTTTTATTTGAGTTTTTGTGTGTTCGTGTCATCTCTCCCGCATGGAACTTGATGTTTGTTCGAGAATCGAGATAGCTAAGTGGTGAGTCGAGATTGTTGATTGGTTTCACTATTAGCATTCATGCTTGATGTACTTGATGAATTTGACGGTTTCCTTTGATTGATTGATGATTCGTTGACATTGGAACTCGCATCTGGATTAACGGAATTATTTTATCCTTTGTTTGTTCTCGATTGGTTGTCTTGAGGCATGCTTTCCTTATGTTCGATTATCGTTGTAAACGTGTTCTCTATACACTTGTGGTACGTTTCGTTTGATTTGTGATGATTATGTATTGTAATTGTGATGTATCCTTGTGTTGTGTGCCTTTTCCTAAAAAAAAAATATATATATAATAAAAAATAAAAAATAAAAAGTGAGTTCGCGGGGAAGTACGGATTAGGCTCCTCTTATTCCGAGCCATTCGTGGATTGGGATAATGAGCCCGGGAAACCGGTTTAGGAAACTCGGGGAAACCCCTCGAGGTCAAACCTAGATCATCTCGTCCGAAAACCTCGTTTGGAAAAAGAAGCTCACGAAATGAGTTCGTGGGAGTCGAAGGGATTAGGCTCCTCTTGGCTCGGTTAATCTTCTAGATAGATCGGGTCAATGAGCACGGGAAACCGACCTAGGCGACTCGGGGACAAACCCCGAGGTTAAACCTAGGTAATAATCGTCCTAACGGCTTTCATTTGGAAAAAGTGGCTCATTAAAAAAAAATTATATATATATATATAAGAAGGAAGAAAATCGGGGAGTTGGCCTATTGATCTCGTGCTTATTATTTCATGTTTTGTAGATCATCTATGGTTTTTGCACGTACATGTGAATGAGGGAGTTTGACTCGAGCGATCATTTGTGGATTGACTTGGGACGGGTTTTTATTTCGTTTGATTCATTATGTGGGAACCGTGTCTCGGGTTGGATTTTGATTTTGGGATAACCGGATGATAATGATAGTTTCATTTTGCATGTTCGTTGATCTTGGACCGTTCGATATATCTCTTCGAGCTACTTGTTATTTTGTTTGCTTGAGGACAAGAAAAAAGCTAAGTGTGGGGGAGTTGTTTGGTATGTTTTTGTGCTTATTTATATGTGTTTATATGTGTGTTCGAGTCATTTTTAGGTTCGTTTTAGTGTCGTCCGGTCCATTTTGTCGCATTTCGTGTGATTTTATATTTTCACTTCTATTTTGTATCTTGGCGTACTTGTCCGTGCTTTTGATATATTTTCAGGTCTATTTCAAGGATGAAAACAAACTCGAGTCAATTCTGAGTATTTCGAGCCATTTCGGACGAATTATTGTCGATCGAGTATATCGAGCCTTAGCCATTGTCCCGCACGCACAACGGTCAGCACGCCCACGCACCAACGCTGCGCGCGGTCGCGGGAAGTTCCGCGCCATCGAGAGCCCCTGCCAACGCCACTCGCGTGCACGTGGTAGTCCCCGCGACATCGAGAGCCCCGTGCGACTCCCGCCTAGTCCACGCTCGCAAGCTCGCCGAGAGATCCGCGACATCAAGAGCACCCGCGCATCACCTGCTGCCCGCGCCCGCGCACTCGCGGAAAGAGCCGCGCGCTCGAGAGCTCTGCACCAGCCGCCAACCACACGCCCGCGAGCACGCCCCAGCACCCGCGCCGTCGAGAGTGCACTACTCCACCACCGCGAGCTCGCGGATTTCAAGGCTACGTCGAGAGTGCCTTCATTTAAACTGTGTGTTTTAGTGTGTGTTGGGGCTAGACTATAAATACATTTTGTCCTTTGCATTTTGGGGATCCAACTCTCATTTTTCACTTTTCCCACTTTGGGAAATTAGCTTATGTTTTATTTTTCTCTCTAGATTAGGAGCTTATGTCATTTTCCGGGAGATTTTCTGGCGACTTCGGTTCCTTTCAAGTTTCGAGCTTTTGACTCCGTTTTTCATCGTCTACGCAATGGAAGAATGAGTATTTAGTTTTAAAGCTCTTTACTTCGGTTTTTGCTCCGTTTTTACTTATAATGCTTATTAGGGTAAATTTGGGTTTGATTGATGATGGAGGAAATGCTTATGCTTGATTGCTTGCTTGAGTAGATAGAGTCGTTAATTGCTCGTTGATCTCGGTTAGACGACTAGGATTAGCAATCTAATGCTCGTAGCTCGTTTATTCCGTATGTCGATTGATTATCATCCCGTTATGGTTATGGCATGAGACTCCGGTGATCTAGTTAGCTAATTGCTCGTCTTTTGATCTTGCTTTCAATTAATCGCTCGTTGTTAAGTGCTCGTTAGTGTTAATCAACTTCCAAATCGATTGCCTAGAATGTTTAGGACTTTATTTTCCCTTTTTGTGATTTTGGACGATCATCTAGTAGACGAAGCTCCGAATAGCCTTCCTTCGAGATCGACCCGAGTCGGGTAACTCGGTTATCCTTTGCCCATCAAATCTATACTAAGCATCGACGAGCTGATCGATTCGTGGTAAGGGATAATGATCTTTTGGGCAGGCCAAGTTCAAGTCACGGAAGTCGATGCACATGCGCCATTTTTTTAATGTCTTTCTTACCATCACGGTGTTGGATATCCACTCAGGAAATTGGATCTCCTTGACGTGTCCTACTCACAACAACTTTTCTACTTCGATTTCAATTGCTTTGTCGATTTCCTCACCATGGCGTCTGAGTCGTTGCTTTACTGGCTTTTTGAGGGGGTCGACGTTGAGATTATGCTCCATAATAGCGGGGTCGATCCCCGTCAACTCCTCAGGGGTGAAGGCGAAGACATCCCTGAACTCCTTTAGTAGTGTGATGAGTTGGTTTCGCAGCTCGTCTTTCAGATCTTTCCCGACCTTGGTGGTCTGTTCTTTCATTTCTCCGATTTGTATCTCCATTAGCTCCCCGTGCGGTTCGAGATCACTATTTCTTGGCCTTTTCTCACTCATTGCCGGCTTCTTTCCCTCATCTTTTGTTCGTTGGTTTGTTTTCACAGCTATCTGGTAACAAGTTCTTGATAGCTTCCGGTCTCCTCGGGCCTCCCCTACTTTATTTCCGACGGGGAACTTCAGTTTCATGTGGTAGGTCGACACTACCGCCTGGAATGCGTTGAGCGCTGGCCTTCCTAGAATCACATTGTAAGCCGACTCGACGTCGACTACAACAAACCGCACCATTTTTACTTTTCTCAAATCGCCTTCCCCGAGGACGACAAGGAGTGTGGTTTCTCCTAGGGGTGCGACTTCTGAGCCATTAAACCCAAAAAGTGAGGTGTGCAGAGGTGCAAGCTCGATGTCGAGTTCATCCGTTTAAGGCAATTGTAAAAGATCACATCCACTGAGCTTCCCGTGTCGATAAAAATCCTCTGCACTTCATAACCTGATATTTGAGCAGTGATCATTAGAGCGTCATTGTGAGGTCTCTCGACCTACCCCACATCTGCTGGCCCGAAATTCATCACTGGACCGTTTTCCTCAACTTGTTGCACTTCAATTTTTCCGTGGCGGCCTCGAGCATATGCCTTTCTGGCCCGATTTGAGTCTCCATCAGTCGACCCTCTGAATATCATATGAATTATTCCTCTTTTCTGAGGGAGCTCCTCCTTGTCAGGTGTCCTTGCTCTCTTGCGAGGACTCTTGCTTCTCTCCCTTCGCCGACTGGTTCGATCTCGATCTTTCTAAACGAACTCCTTTAGATGGCCTGCTTTGATTAGCCTCTCGATCTCATTCTTCAGGTGCCGACACTCCTCAGTATTATGCCCATAATCCTTGTGGAATCGACAATACAGATCACTTTTGGGTTTTGTCGGTCCATCTTTTCTCGTCGTAGCCACCTGACCACATTTTTGCGAATTTCTTTCTCCATTACCTCCAATATCCTTGCGCTCGAGGCTATCAGGGGGGTTTACTGAGTTGTCCTCCATCCTCTTGATCGCCCCTCCCTTTCCGACATCGGGGATCCTTTCCTTTCTCCCGTCGCAGTTGGTTTCTTATCCTTCTTCTCGTCCCGAGACTCAATTTTTGCTTTAGCTGCTTGCAAAAAGTCGGCTTCAGCTTCCTCGACATTCATGTACTTGGCGCACCTTCCTAATACTTCATCAAACGTCCTCCTGGATCGTTTTGCTAAGGAGTTCCTGCACAATCCTGGGAGTAATCCTCGAGTGAGTCCTCCCGACTTGATTTCCTCAGTGGCTGAGGGGACGTCGACGCATGCTCGCGTGTATCTTGCTACGTAATCCCTCAATGATTCTCCTTCTTTCTGTTGCATGCCTATCAGGGTAAGGTAAGACTTTTCTTGGGCTTTTACACTTGCGAATTGATTTAGGAAACTCGAACTAAATCCGTCAAAGTCCCTGATGGCTCCTGGGGGTAACTGATGAAACCAGTCTTGCGCAGGCCCTCGCAGAGTTGTCAGGAACGCTCGACATTAAACGGGATCATTGTAGCGGTGCAGTACTGCCATGTTTTCAAAACTCCTCAGATGTCGAGAGGGGTCAGTCGACCAATCGTACCAGATGTTAAGTTCTCTAAACCCCTGAGGCAGGTAGGCGTCTAGAATATGCTGTGAAAAAAGGTGTCCCCTCGAGCTTCCTGTTTTTCTCCCATCTACTCGAGCGTGCAAATCTCGCACCTCCGCTAACAATTGCTCCAGGGTGTCATTTCTCGCCTGTGGATTGACAGTTCTGACAGAGGATTCCTCTTCATCTGCCCTCCTGTTCTGCCTTTCATGCGACTACGCCTGCTGTTCGCGTTCTAGGGGTTGTTGTTCATTTTGGGGCTGCTCGACCCTAGCTTGTTCGATCCTAGGCTGCTCGACTCGAGTCTGTTTGATTTGGGCTGCTACAGCTTCGGCAATCATCCTCTGCATCTCGCTTCTCGTCATGGTCAGTGTTTGTTCCTCGATTTGGGGTGGTGGCCTTGTCTCCTGATCAAGTCGTTCAGGCTGCCTCCACAACCTCAAATATGTTTCGGTCGATGCGTGACCATCTACTTCTCCGCTCGTGTCCTTCACCTGACTGGCCTCCCCCTGGGTGAGAACTGGGATCTTGACTCTAGGGTAATAGGTGTTTCTTCTCCCGCACGTCCTCCCGCCGGCGCGTGCATCCCGAACGGTGGAAATCCCAGTACCTGGAGCGGTGGTCTGACACTGGGGATCGGCGGAGGTCGCTTGTCGGTCCACGTTGCCCTGAAATCATCGTTCAAGTTTTTCTGCAATCCTTCCTTCTCAGCCATCAGAGACAGATCAAAGCTAGGTGTAAAGCTCTTAATTCCTTCAAGAACACCCCACAGACGGTGCTAAATGATGGGTCTATTCTCGGATCTAGGGGTGAACCGGTGGAAAATCGCCCAGATCTGAAATTAACCGACGAGAAAGAGCTCAGATCTGTCTTGATGGTCTCCAAATTGCTATCGAACCGCGAGAACACCTGCAAGAACTCAACGCCGGAGGGATTTCCAGTATAGAGCCTCTGACGCTCAAGTCAGTATGTGAAAAGAGTGAAAAGAGCTGCTCTAAGAAAGCAGCAGCAATGGAGGAGAATGTAGAATGAATGGGAGTTAGGGTTTTGGAGTTACCTTAGCTCCTTTATATAGAAGTAGAACATTTACCTGAAGTCCCCAAAATGCCCTGGCCGACTTACTGGAAATGTCCAAAATACCCTGGTCGGTTCGTATTCTATCCTCCTCCTAGTCAGCATCTAGATTCTTCCTTATCCCTTAGTGGCTTTCCTCTGGTATGCTGAAGTGAATAGAAGTCGTCGGGAATTCGTGAGTCCTGAGATTACTTCGGTCAACTTGGGATATCCTTGCTTCCGAACCGGCTGGATCATCCCCCACTCGCTAGTAGACCCTAATACGCTTATTCATCTTTTCAGGCGAGATCGACTAGTCTAAGTCAACATGGTAGAGGTCGACTAAGAAAAGCATTCAGACCTTCGACCGGATATATCATCATGAGAAGATATGTGGGAGGAATCGACTTCGGGTAAGTCGACTCGACGATAATTGAACCGAGACAAGATAAGCCGTTATACGACAGTATGGCTATATCACCACTAGAGTAATATTATTGTTGTCCCCATTTAGCCACTATTTTACCAATAAAATCGAGCCTCCATGATTAAATAATATTAATCTGATTGATCGATTTACCTCCCTATGTTTAAGATATAACGTTCGTTGATTAATTAAATTACTGACAAAGTAATTAATCAACTTCTTATTCATTTCCGAAATTAGTACCACTCAGCCTTCAACCATTATGCCAGACAATCGTCTACCTGCAGGGTTTAACATAAGGTTCCTTTCTG